ATTCCAAATATGTCATTTTATTAATTTTCATGAGTTAATTTGACTAATTTTTAAAGCTAAATTAAATTAGATCAACTCAAATTTTTTAATTAAAATTTAAATTTTAGAAATCATAAGAAAAGTACTATAAATTGCAATTCTTCTCATGTCAATATGATGAAAAAATACATTTTAAAATATTGATCAAAATTCAAATAGTCTGAATCTCAAGAAACGAAATTTGACATATAATTTGGGACGGAAGAACTAGCCACGCAGAAATAAAAGAATATTATCACTTTTAGCCCGCGCCAGAAACTATTTATATTCAGTAGCTGAAAAAGTGTTGTAGATAATAAATTTGCGTCGAGAAAATAAAATCAAGATCGAAAATATCGCAACAATCGTAGTATTTTATTTCAAATATTTGAGTGTACAATCTCTATTATTCCTCTGATTCTACTTTTCAATGGTGAATAAATTCAAGGGCCTTTGAGCTTGATCTTGAATATGTAGTTGTCGCCACGAACGACGATCTTGTTCTTGAGCTTTAGCTTGATTGCTTGAACTTGACCTTGATTTGTTCTTCGTTCTTGAGCTTGAACTTGATTTGTTCTTCGTTCTTGAGCTTAAACTTGATTGCTTGAAGCTTGAAACTTGTGGAGGAATTTGAAGTGTTTGATCCACGAGGTCTCTCTTGCTTCTTGTTATAACTTCTGGTATTTTTTCTGAATTATGAAGACCCCTATTTATAGTTGTGGAAGGGAGGAGTTGTGATAAGAACAAACTCTTTCCGACCAATCAAATTGAAGGGTGACATGGCCGCATTTGATTGGCCAGAACATGTCACTTGCACACGTGGCACGATTTCATTGGCCTTTTAGTGTGACTGGGCATGCCTTGTCATTTTGACACGTGGCATGGTCGTATTGGCTCTTCCGCTTGACTTGGCGCGCCACGTCATTTGACACGTGGCACCAAACCGGGCCTCTGGGAAGATGACATCTTGGGCTTAATGAAGTGGGCTCATCACTTTAGCCCAAATAAATGGGCTAGCCCAATGGATTAAGACTTATTTATTTAATCCATATATGTTGGGCTCATAATTCAATTATATTAACCCAATAAGTTTATTTGAACTAATATATCTTGAATTTAAAAATATAGTCCAAATAATTTTATGAATTTAAAATTCAATAAAATTTAGATGCCTACAAATGCCCCCTATAACGACCCGGCCGGTCGTTTTAAGAATTTACGCCTCGATCCCCTATTAACTGCATTCCCCGTATTTGTTTCTGCTATCGTGAGTTGCCGGGTAGATTTATTTGAAAATTCGGAGAGTTTTGGGACACTTAGTCCCTAAATGAGAGTTTAAGTTTTAGAATTTGGACCGTAGTCGGAGCAGTGTGAAGACGGCCTCAGAATGGAATTTTGTTGGTTGCGTTAGCTCCGTTGGGTGATTTCGGGTTTAGGAGCGTGTTCGGATTGTGTTTTGGAGGTCCGTAGCTCATTTAGGCTTGAAATGCCAAAAGTTGAATTTTTGAAGTTTCCGGTTCTATAGTGAGATTTTGATATCGGGGTCGGAATGGAATTCCGGAAGTTGGAGTAGCTCCATAGTGTTGAATGCGACGTGTGTGCAAAATTTTAGGTCATTCGGACGAGGTTTGATAGACTTTTTGATCGAAAGCGTAATTCGGAAGTTTTTGGAATTCTTAGGCTTGAATTCGATGATAATTCAATGTTTCGATGTTGTTTTAGGTGTTTTAAGGATTGGTATAAGTTTGGATGGTGATTTATGACTTGTTCGTGCTTTTGGTTGAGGTCCCGGGGGCCTCGGGGTGGTTTCGGATGGTCAACGAGAAGTTTGGAGTTGGGAATTTGCAGCTGAAGTTGCTGAGTCTGCTGTCATAACCGCACCTGCGGCTTGGGGGACCACAGGTGCTATTGCGCAGAAGCAAAAAAAAAAAAGAAGCCGCAGATGCGGCCAAGAGGAAGCAGGGCTGGTACCGCAGAAGCAGCTAAGGGAACGCACTTGCGCTATCGCAGGTGCGAGAATGTTATCGCAGATGCGGAGTTAGAAATTTTAATGAAAACCGCAGTAGCGGTTCCCTCAACCGCATAAGCGGTAGCGCGGGAGTGGGTATTCAACCGCAGGTGCGGATTTACTGGGCAGAAAATAAGAATTTCGAGGGTTTAGTTTCAAAAGTTGGAAAATTGATTTGGAGCTCGGGAGAGGGCGATTTTGGGAGATTTTTGAAGAGGAAATTAGTGGGTAACAATTCCTTATCCCTTTCTAGTTGTATTCCATTAATCTATTGTTAGTTTTATCGTTTAATTTCGAATTTGAGATGAAAATTGGGGAAAATTTTGAAGAAAGTTCTTAGACCTAAATTTCGAGTTTTGATTGGGAATTTGATGTTGGATTTGGATAATTTTGGCATGGTTAGACTCGTGAGAGTATGAGGATTTTGAAAATGTAAATTTTACCCGATTCCGAGACGTGGGCCCGGAGGGCATTTTGGTCATTTTACCTAATTTCGCGTATTAGCTTAGAATTTAGTTGTAGAATCAGTTATTTGAAGTGTTATTTACATTATTCAATTTAATTGAATAGATTTGGGCCATTTGGAGTCGAGTACTCGTGGCGAGAACGTGGTTTTGGGTTGATTTTGAGCTGGTTCGAGGTAAGTGGCTTGTCTAACCTTGTGTGGGGGAAACTCCCCTTAGGATTTGGTTTGTTGATAATTGAAATGCCTTGTACGTGAGGTGACGAGTGTGTACTTGTGCTAATTGTTGAAAATCCGTTTTCTTTAAGTAACTATAAATGTGATTTCCTTTTTCATGTTCATATTGTGTGTAATTTAAGCCTGCTATTAGCTTAGGGAAGCATGTCTAATTGTCTTAATTGCCTTATTTGCTTAAACAACCTTATTTGGATTATGTGTGGCATGCTAGGTTAGAAATACCTGTTTTTACCTTGGTATGAAATTAGAACTGAATTGAGTATTCTTCGTGTTGTTGCTGTGTGTTTACTTTGGGACTACGGGACGTTATCCCAGGAGATCCCCCTACTTGTTTACTTTGTGACTACGGGACGGTATCCCGGGAGATCTCCCTGCTTGTTTACTTTGGGACTACGGATTCGTATTCCGGGAGATGCCCTGCACCTGTATTGATTTGGACTGTAGTGCGGGATACCGAGAGATCCCCAGCACGTATATTGGGGATACTAAGAGATCCTTGGGATACCGAGAGATCCCCCACATATATAGTGAGGATACTAAGAGATCCTCGGGATACTGAGAGATCCCCAGTACATATATTGAGGATACTAAGAGATCCTCGGGATACTGAGAGATCCCCCCGTTGTTATCTCTGCGTTGAGCTGTATTTATTTCCGTGATTTCTATGTCTCTGTTAAAGTTGTTGTTGTTCTTTTATCCTGTGTTACTTTTACTGTTGCACTTAAGTATACTGTCTTATTCTACACTATTATATCTTGTATTTCCTTTAACCTCAGTAGGGCCCTGACCTTCCTCGTCGCTACCCGACCGAGGTTAGGCTTGGCACTTACTGAGTATGTTGTGGTGTACTCATGCCCTTCCTGCGCATGTTTTTCATGTGCAGATCCAGGTACTCCCACTCAGACTTATCACGCTTGAGGCATTTTGTAGAGACTCTGAGGTATATCTGCCGCGTCCGCAGACCGAAGAGTCCCTTTCTATTCTCAGTATTAGTATAGCCCTTTCTGTATTTTCCCTTGTTGGTAGACATTCTGGAGTTAGAGTTTATTATGTAATCCTTTAGCTTGTGATTCATGGGGTTCCGGATTTTGGGAGTGTTAGATTGAGATTTCTTGTACTGTTATATGCCAGGCGGCATCTTAAATACTGTTTAACCTTGTTGACTCGGTTTTTAATTACTTTCTTCTGCAATTGTTTCTTTTTCCGCATTTGTTAGGCTTACCTAGTCGTAGAGACTAGGTGTCGTCACGACAGTTCACGGAGAGCGAACTGGGGTCGTGACAGGGTACTTGAGGGGAATAATTTCCTTAAGGACACACTGTGTATTCAGTGGGCTCGATTTATTCCTATATTATTTTTCAGAATTTATTTTTTCGTTCTGGTTCTACTAACTTTCTGTTTCTGTTTTTCTAGAAAGTTTATTGTTTTATTATTTATTATAGCAATACAGATTGATTAACAGATATCATTTCTAATACATCGGTGGGGCAGGCTCGAAAGGCGGGATGCCCATGACGTGTACGTGTTGGATGAACCAAATCCTCATTGAATTTGATTTTTCCATTAGATAGGGCTCGCACATGTTCTGCAGTACCCCTTATCCAATAAAAAATAGCTTGGATAATGAACTTTTTAACAATGGCTCGAATATGGATAAGATCCATATTATCCATTTAAAAATAGGATAACCAATGGGTTTAACTTTTGCATTTGTAAAAACTCAAATTGAGAATTACTTAAATTTGGGAGACAAGGAATTCTCCCAAAAGTAATAATTCAAGAAGTCATGATTGGATATCTATATTATCCGCCAGTTAACCCATTTTTATCCGTATTAAATATGATCAAATAAAATAATTTATCCATTATCCATTTTTCGACCAGTTCATATCCGATCCGAGCAGCCCCTTTTCCACCCGCACTGTTGACTAAGAGAAGTCTCGCTTCACCCATCAACCACAACATTGGAAACCACGCAATCTAATTCTAGTGTAAAAATAGCCTCTCACAAGTTTTTTGACCGTTTGTTAATATTTAGCCACTGTTTGAAATATAATTGAGAAATACTACCTCTATTCCAAAATATGTCATTTTTTAATTATCAATTTGACTAATTTTTTAAGCTAAATTAAATTATATCAACTCAAATTTTTTAATTAAAATTTGGATATTTAAAAACTCATAAGAAAAGTACTATAAATTACAATTCTTCTCATGTCAATATGATGATAAAAATACATTTTAAAAATCATGCCATAAGTAGATGCTGTGATTATGGATCCTCTCTTCTCGGATCATTCCCCTTTGTGTGTTAAGCTTGGAGAAGAACCAAAGACCTCAAAGCCCTTTAGGTTCTTCAACAGTCTGGCTGAGCATAAGGATTTTCTTTCAGTAGTGACAGAAGCATGGAATAAATCACAACAAGCAGGAAATATGGCAGGAATCTGGAGAAAACTGAAGGATGTTAGAAGAGCATTAAAATGGCTGAATACAAATGAATTCCAAGCAGTAGATTTGAGGGTAAAAAGTGCTAGACAAAAACTACATGATGTCCAAGAACAGATGAGAACTACAAGCATATCATCACAGAAGTTTGAAGAAGAGAAAGAACTGAAGCAACAACTAGAGAAATGGGCTACTATAGAGGAAAGCATTTATAAACAGAAATCTAGAAATCAGTGGCTGAAGTTGGGTGATTCTAATACTGCATTCTTCTTTGCCAGCATGAAGAATAGAATAAGCCACAATAAGATCAGAAGCTTGAAGACTAATGATGGAGAAATAATTCAGTCTAGGGAAGCAATAGAAAAGGAAATAGTGGGATTCTATAAAGGACTATTAGGATCTGCAGCTGATACCATACCAGCCATACAACCAGTTATTATAAAGGAGGGCAATGTGCTAGATAGGAGGCAACAATTGAAGCTAACTGAACCTGTTACTGCAGAGGAAATTCAAAATGCTTTAAAAGGGATAGATGATCAAAAGGCTCCAGATGTGATGGCTTCAATTCAAAGTTTTTTAAGAAGACATGGGGTATCACAGGTCAAGAAATATCTAAGCCAGTGTTTGAGTTCTTCAACACAACTGAAATGCATCTGCCTATTAACGTAACAACTGTTACATTGATACCTAAGGTTCAGCATCCTTCAACAATCAAGGATTTCAGGCCTATTTCATGTTGCACAGTGTTATACTAGATTATTTCAAAAATTCTGACTAACAGATTGCAAAGGGTGATAGACCATTTAGTAGATAAAAGCCAGTTTGGCTTTGTTCCTGGAAGAGTTATCACATATAACATAATACCAAGCCATGACTGGTAAAAGGGTATGGGAGGAAGGGCATCTCACTAGATGTATGATGAAACTAGACTTGCAAAAGGCCTATGACTCCATTGAGTGGGAATTCTTAGAGCAAGTGCTGAATAATTTGAACATTCCAGAGAGGTTTATTCGATGGATCATGGTATGTGTAAGAACAGTATCTTACTCTATACTCATAAATGGGAAACCTGTGGAACCATTTCAAGCTAGAAGAGGCCTAAGACAGGGTGATCCACTCTCACCATTTCTTTTTGTACTTGGTATGGAGTACCTCACAAGGAGTTTCAAGACTTTGAAGTATAAGCCAGATTTCAATTTCCATCCTAGATGTGATAAGCTAAATATCATTCAACTGGGGTTTGCAGATGACTTACTGCTTTTCTGTAGAGGAGATGCTATTTCTATCCAAATGGTATTCAACTTTTTCATGGAATTCTCTAAGGCATCTGACCTAAAAGCAAACACAACAAAGAGTTCCATATACTTTGGGGGTGTACCACAAGATATACAGCAGAGCATAGTACAAGTAACTGGTTTTAGCAGGGGAGATTTGCCTTTCAAATACCTTGGAGTTCCACTCAGTACTAAGAGGATTTCTATGATACAATGTCAGCCACTACTGGAGAAAATAATAGGAAGAATTACCTCCTGGACTTCAAAGTATTTATCTTATGCAGGAAGGTTGCAATTGATCAAAATAGTGTTGTTCTCCATCCAAATATACTGGTCGCAGATATTTGTAATTCCTAAGAAGATGATGAAGAAGATAGAAACAGTCTGTAGAACCTTTCTATGGACAGGAGTAGATGCTTCAAAAAAAGCTTTGTTATCATGGGACAAAGCGTGCTCTCCAAAGACTGCTGGTGGATATAATGTACTGGATGTGCATACATGGAATAAAGCTGCAATTTGTAAACTACTATGGAATCTGTGTAAGAAGAAAGACAAATTATGGGTTCAGTGGATTCATTTGTATTATTGAAGAAGCAAGAAGTGTGGGAAACCAATCCAAGCAATGCATCATGGATAGTTCAGAAAATCATTAAGGCAAAGAGATATGTAGAGGCAGCAGGGGTCAATATGAAGGAACTGACAGAATGGAAATACTTCTCTGTCAAGAAGTGGTATAAAGGCATGCAGACAATATCAAAAAGTATCATGAAAGAGATTAAAGTTCAACAATTTAGGGGCTCCAAAGTGGAACTTTTGTGTTGAATCTAGCTCTGCAAAACAGACTCCTTACAAGAAGTAGACTTCATGGATGGGGAATTGCAGATGAAGTAAGTTGCCCCTTGTGTAATGAAGCAGATGAGACCATAGATCATTTGCTGTTTAAATGTAGAATTGCTGGAAGTATATGGAGCAAGCTGCTACATTGGAAAGGCATAGCAAGACCTTCGATGGAGTGGCAAAGGGAGGTACAATGGGCTGAAGACAAAGCAACAAGAAACAATGCAAATGCTCAAGTATATAGACTGACTTTGGCATGTGCAGTATACCATATATGGAATGAAAGAAACAGGAGAGTATTTCAAGAACAACAGAAGACAATGGAAGTGATAGTTAGACAAATCGTACAAGAATTTGCAAATAGGGGATCAAGAAACAGTAAGATAGAGAAGAGAATGGCAGAAATGAATTTCTATCCTTAGTTTGATATAGAAGACTTGTAGTAGAAGTTGTGTGAAACTCGGAATGTCCAGTTTCAGATTTTGACATTGTACATATTTGCTATTGGTAAATAAAATCATTTAATTACCAAAAAAAAAATGTTGATCAAAGTTCAAATAGTTTGACTCTCAAGAAACGAAATGTGACACATAATTGGGGATGGAAGGACTAGCCATATATGCGAAAATAAAAGGGCTTTTATCACTTTTAGCCCGCGCCAGAAACTATTTACATTCGGTAGTCGAAAAGGTATATAAAATTTGTATAATTTTTGTATATAACATACAGGGTCTTCGCAAAAGTTACTAGGTTCCCGGGAATTCATATTCAATGCTCTAGGTCCGCCCGTGTGTATAGCTTTTGCGAAGACCCTGTATTTATATTAAGAAATTCACTAAATATTTATAAATATTTAACTGTGAACCCAGTTATTATTGCATATTAATTTGAAATTACGGTAGCAACCCATAAAACCTCAAATCCTGAATCCGCCACTTGCTATACAGTGTTATTTTCCCAAAATAAAATATGGACGACACCAAGCGTAAATTCTTGCCCATTTTTGTTCTTATATTCTAGCAGCCAAGACGAAAGTTTTGCAATTTACCTTTACTATGTGTCACAGCAACTTTATACTTGCATATTTTCCAGCAGCCAAGATGGGATTATTGGACACTCTTGCAATTTATTTCCGTTTCTTCTCAACGTTTTGTGCTCAAATTCAACCTCGGGCAAATGCAGCCATTGACAGATTTCTTTGTAAATTTCACTTAGACTTCAAAAATCCTCATGACAAATAAGTACTAGCTATCTCTATACCTAAATGTTCCACTATAAATACCATTATAAGAACTGAAACTAACATAACAACAAGTTCATATATAACATCTTTTTACGAACTATTTGCTTACTAAGAAATTCTGCACCCCCATCGCCTCTCAGCTTCGCCATTATTACCGCCGTTAGGAGGATCGCGCTCCCGATTCAAAGTTTCTTTATGAAAGTTTCAACCCTTAAACTCATATTATATTGAGTTACTCATATTATATTGAGTGTTGTTGTTGTTTTTTTATAACCATAGGTACACCAGGAATACCCTATTTCAAGGAGAGACTCAACATAGTGGATAATGAGAAAAGATACAAGCAGTCTGAGGTGATTGAAGGTGGATATGTTGATCTTGGCTATGTATTTTACGGAATTAGGTTTGAGGTGATTGAGAAAGATGAAAAGTCATGTGTTACAAAATTTACAGTGAGTTATGAAGTGGAAGATGTGAAGCTTGCAAACCATGCATTTACTATGGTTGAGCCATTGCAGACTGTTATCAAATCTACCAAAACTTATTTAAGTGCCAAGTCAAAGATTTGAGTCTCTCATCTCATCTAATCAAGAAGATCAAATTTCTATTTCTGTCAAATTCAACAGTACGTCAGCTGGCCAGATTGAAGAACTTCTATTGATTTGATACTAAAATAAGATTATCATCGACTTGTCAGTTTGCTGTCTTTTTCCTATTTTAAAAGCAAGGAGCTAATGACTTCAGTAAAGATTGAAACATATTATTAAAGAGTATTAATGAAAGTATCTGTTGTCCAGGTAGCCTCAATTCACTATCTAAAACTCAGCACTACCAATTGTTATAGATGTGCAGCAAGCTCTTCTGATTATGGAAAAACCTTCTGCCAATTCCCAGACTATGCAAAAATGGATCAGCAGCAGATAAAGACCAAACAAGGAACCAACTAACGAAAATGTGATTTCTTGACAGTACAAAAACTGCATATGGTTACCAATATATAAATGCCAAATTTTTGACACTCAACTTAATTGTACTCATCCTAAAAAAGGCCTTTTTACACAAAAGAGACGTACCCGTCTGCTATTAAATGAAATTTACTCAGCAAAGCGATTGATCAGCGAATGCCTTGAAAGTCCCATTATCAAGATCCTCATTCGCGAGCATAATCAGGCTTTGCTTTAGTCCCTCCAATCTTTCACGTACAATAACTGTAGAAGTATTTAGAAAAAGATGTTCACTGTTGCAAGTGTAACGAACTCAAAAAGCCTATTATGGCTTCTATATCATTTGCAATAGCCGTGTCAATTAGGGGCGTATCTAGAGTGTAGTGTATGGGTTCTCGGAAACCCAGTAACTTTTGCGTAGACCCTGTATTTTTATTAAATATTTTACTAAATATCTATAAATAGCTAAGGGTGAACCCAGTTATTATGGTATATCGATTTGAGATTGCGACAGGAACCCATAAACTTCAAATTCTGGATCCGCCTCTGGTGTCAATAGGCAAACACAAATATCTCTGAGGACGTTTGGATTGGCTTTTAAGCTCTTATTAGTTTTTTTCGGTGTTTGGCAAAGTCAAAAAGTGCTTAAAATAAGTTTAAAACTGCTTAAAACAAGCCGAAAGCAATAAGCTGGGCAACCCCAACTTATTATTTTTTGGCTTAAAAGCTATTTTTGCTGAAAAACCCACTTTTTTAAGCCAATCCAAACGTGTTCTAAGAATGCTCAATTGTCACACATCCGCCTTAGCACCTCGGTCGCACCCACATATTTTCCAATGCACTTTTTTGAGACCAAGGATTCTAAGGGAGAAACACATATTTTTAATCTTGTTGATGGACAAAAGTATGTGTTTTACCCTCAGCATCCTTTGTCTCAAATAGTGAACCAGTAATAAGTGGGTGAAACCGAGGTGCTCAGATGTCTGACAATTGAGCATTTTTAGAAATATTTGCTTTTGCCAATAGACAGAATTGCCTAGTCAAAGTCTCCACCAGAACAGATGAAGATTAACGAAAACAACAAACTTCAGACAGTACTTCAGCATATAATTGCACAATGTAATAACAAAATAGTGAAACGCATGAATCTCTGCCCAATTGCAGACCAAAGGAAGCTCATTACAATCTTCAAAAGCAACTTTAGAAACTAAAATTTCAGAACACTGTAGTGAATATTCTTAAAACCAAATGTCATTAACATATACATAAAAAAAAGGGTCATTCTCAGAAAGACCACATACAGCGAGACTAACCTCATATTGGAGATTTTAACCTGAACAGAATGAGTAAGAACCAAAACGCAAGAAAATGGAGCTCTGAACTACTTTCTTCCAACCACAATATACATGCATTCAACATGACAAATGATGGTGGTTGGAGCACATGCTTTGAACATTTTGTGTCCCATTAATGATAGAATTATTTTGAGCAATCAGTGTGTGTGTGTGTGTATGAGCTAACAAGTGCACGGAAACACCAGAATCTCTCTAAAAAAAAAAAAGGGAAACAGGCCAAAACCATATCATCTCATTTCTATGCATGTGTCCAGCTTCTATCTGATCATGCCATTTACTTTTCGTTTTCTGAAGGAAAAACAAAATCCATGCTGATTGATCATCAGTGATCAAATTGATTATTAACATCATTTATGTGGCCGATACAATATGAAAATCCGGACCCTATTCATCTCAATATTAATTCCTTACGGAGCCCTCAACCAAGTATACCACTATAGAGCTACAACAACAACAAACCCAGTGCAATCCCACAAAGTGGGGTCTGGGGAGAGTAGGGTGTACGCACACCTTACCCCGACCTTGTGAAGGAATATACCACTATAGAGCTGAATCCATAATTTGTCTAGGGACGGTGAGGAATCATTAGTGAGACAATTGGGGTTCTAATGTTCATTTTGCATCGGCCGCATAAATGGCGTTAATAATTCGTATAGTCACTTCATTATAGGTTATGGAGTAGGTTAGATGGGGATCCAACCCGTTGAAATTTATCGAGATTCTTATTATATTCATTTCCTCTTTTCCCAATTGTATACAATTTGCCTAAAAGTGATAGCTAACTTTGCAAATATACCCAGCCATTTTGATGAACCAAATATAGGCAACAAAAGAAGTGCAATTAAACAACAAGAATAGGGAAACAAAAGAGTGCAATGCTGGAGTTAACATTGGGGATAACGACCTAGAATAAGGAAGACATCAAATATCACAAGTTGTATCTTCTATCCCTTGAAAAACCACACCAAATCCTTTCTTCTCAAAGTTTCCATAGAAATAGTGAGGGATTACTTACCAATGATTACTTTAACATTTATCCAGTCGTCAAATGTTCAAGGTATCAAAGCTTGCATAGACTTTCTTTGGAGCAAAGGAACCATATGTTCCCTTTGGACCTTGATAATGTTAAGAGTGAATATTTTCCCTATGCATTGTAAGAGGCTAAGAGCACATCAGGGAAGCCTGAGTACCCGAAGAATATATACTGCGGGACCATATAATATGCAATTTCTGTACTGTTCTGATTATAAGAAAACCTTTCTGCCAATTCTTACTGTGCAAAAATGAATCTGCAGAAGATAAAGACCAGACAAGGAACCAACAAGCAAAATGAAAGCAATTTTGATGTCTTGACTGTAGCCAAAATCTGCAAATGCTTACAAATTCCTAAATGCTACATTTTGAAACTCAATTAACTACAAGCATATACGTACACACATATCTCCTTAGAAAAATGTCAATTGCACAAAAGAGGCGTTCCCATCTTCTACTAAATGGAATTTACTCAGAAAAATAGAGATTGATCAGCAAATGCGGTTAAATGGAATGTCTGTGCCCGTGCATTTTGTCTCGCCATAAATGGAATGACTCTATCTCTCTTAT